GGAGTTTAGTTTTCCCCTCCTGCGGAACCTACTAATTCTCTTGAAATGAGTGACCTTAAGGAACACCCAGTCGCATTTTTCAAATGCTAAATCTCTCCTCCGGGTGTCCGCATAACTCTTCTGTCTGCTCTAAGCAGTCCGAATGTTCTTTCTGATTTTAACTATTTTAGACGTGGTCTCCTCCACCAACTCTGGACCGAATAATTTTCTGTCGCCCACTTCTTCCCAACAAATCGGCGATCTGCATGGGCACCCATATAACACCTCATACGGAGCCATACCAATGCTCGCTTGGTAGCCATTGTTGTAGGGAAATTTTATCAGGGGTAGATGATCGTCCCAATGGCCCCCAGAGTCAAGGACACAAGCTCGGAGTATATCCTCAAGTGTACGAATTATCCTTTCTGATTGTCCATCAGTATGAGGATGGAAGGCAGTACTGAGAGATAACTTTGTTCCCATGGCCTGTTGAAAGCTACGTCAAAACCAAGAAGTGAACCTGGGATCCCTGTCGGATACCACTGTCACTGAAACTCCATGCAATCTGACTATTTTTCGGATATACATTATTGCCAACTTGTCCAAGGAATTGGTCATCCTAATGGTTAGGAAGTGGGAAGACTTGGTAAGCCAATCAACAATTACCCAGATAGCATCATGTCCTTAACGTGCCTTGGGTAATCCCGTTACGAAGTCCATGGTGATATGTTCCCACTTTCACTCCGGGATCAGTAAAGGCTGAAGTAACCCACCTGGGCATTGATGCTCTGCCTTGACCTGCTGGTATACCAAGCATTTAGATACAAAGTCAGCTATGTCCCTCTTCATCCCATTCCACCAAAACTGGGGTCGCATGCTTTGGTACATTTTGGTACTTCCGGGATGCATGGCAAACTTCGAGCTATGGGACTCTGTCATGATGTTTCTCTTTAATTCACTGTCGTTTGGAACACACACCCTGTCCTGGAACCGGAGTAATCCATCGGCAGATATTCAGAATTCTGAACTCACTCCCTGTTCTGCATCATTCTTACGGGCTACTAGGGGAGGGTCGACTGACTGGGCTTCCCTTATTCTCTGTATTAACTCAAGCTGGACAGTCAGACGGCCCAAACATGCGACTCTCTTCAGGTTCTGAAGTCGAACCTGTTGTGTGGTCTCAATTTGCCTGCGTTCTGAAACCATCAAATGAGCTAAGATACCTGCACTTTTCCTGCTGAGAGTATCTGCCACCACATTGCCCTTACCCGGGTGATACAAGATATCACAATCATAGTCTTTAAGGAGTTCCATCCACCTTCTCTGACGCATGTTGAGATCCTTTTGAGTGAATATGTATTTCAAAC